CCTTGGGCAGGTGTACCAAAGTCAAGCCAGTTTGTGGATTTTAAAATATTCAGAAATTTTGTAAGCTGGTTGTGAAATCATTAGTAGCTTGGAGTTGGCTGTGGTGGGAGTATTTACCACAAAAATTGGTAAACGATACAAATTTTGGATTTTTTTGAAAACCACTGAAGAGCCTTTGCATCTTTTCTGTTCCCAGGACTACCTGAATTTGCAGGTCATATGACATGGAGGAAGTGAGTGAGAGGGAATTCTAGCCACTTAGACTCCAGGGATCGTCTGGCTGGTGGGATGTGAATATATACAATATTCTTCATTTGCACTGTTTAAGCATTTTAAAAGTGTTTTCACTTTCATCGTCTACTTTGATTCTCATGACATCCGAAAAGGATATAATTATCCTCATGATATGATGAGGAACCCAAGGCTCTGAGCTGCACAGCTCTCCTGGATGTTTGCCAAGCCCCTCTTCTCTAATAATTGCCCACCTCAGCCCCAGGGAGGCCTCTCCAAGAACCATATTTCTGCTTTATAACCTGAATCTTTAGGCCGTAACAGTTTAAATCACATACCTGAACCAAGTTGGGTTAATCAGTTTCTCTCCCTGGAGAATTTCAACCAGGAGATAGGCTTTGAGAGATAGATCATGTAAGTGGCAGGAATCCACTGGCATAATCCACAGATTCCAGAGGCTGGCGACTCTGGACTGGCCCTGGTTCTCATTCTTCCTCCCTTTCAGCCCTTCTTGACTCTTTTGAACTCCTTAAATTGCTTTAACTAGTCCTAGTTTCTAAAAAACAAATTCTCCTTTTTTGGTTAAAGGTATAACAAAGTGTTTTCTATTACCTGCTGTCAACAGAACTTTACCTCATATGGGCAGAGGTGTTAAGATCTTTCTCTAAGGTCATACAGTTAGTAAGTGACTGATTCAGGTTTTGAACTTGAATCAAATCTGTCTGACTCCAAGTGTAATGTTCTGGTCTGTATTTCATACATACCGGTTAGGCGAGCACTATGAGTGGAAGTTTTTGTCCCACCCATTCTGAAAGGTAAAAAACCCTCCTGAACCACTGAATTCGCCCAATCCTTTATCTCTTCTATCTCTTCCTTTACATTTGATGACATCTTTGTTCAGATATGTTATTCAGATGAGCTCAGAACTGATTTGGGTTGATCATAGGACAGCATGAAGACTAGAGAGGAAATAATCTCTATTGTTTTCTTTCTCTTCAAATTTTAGATTCACTAATGTCAGAAGAGGTTTTAAATGTATATAAAGTATATAACTTTGGGGTCTGCTGGCCCAGGCTCATTCTCAAGTGGAGATATGAATTAAGCCTATCTTGAGGTTTCTCTGTCCTCTTCCCAGGGAGAGTCCTCATGATTCCCGGAAAGCCTCCCCGTGGTCCATCCAGAGCCCTGGAGTGGGGGCTGGACCTTTGGCTCCCCTAACTCACCATACACCATCAGTGTGACCATCCACTCATTCTCATTCCCAGCGTTGTACAGTATCTTCAGGAGGTAGGTGCTGCTGTCATCTTTCTGGACCTTGTAGATATTCAGTGCACCAGTTTGAATATCAAGGGTGGCCCTGCCCTTAAATTTAGTATTGAAGTACTTTGGCTCACCATGCTCCCGTTCCACAATCTTCTGATCAGTGGTATAAAACCACGTGAGTGAGTGGTAGCTCTCAGGCAAACTGGAAATTTTCAGACTCACATTGCTGCCAGAGACTGCAAGTTCTAAACGATCTGCCAATGAGAGAATGAGACCCATCTTAGAGAGGGCAGAGCTACTCAGTGGTCCAGGCTTTGGCCTGGGCTGGCGCAACAAGGAAGGAAGAGATTTTTGCTTGGGAGCAGTGAGTATCCTCCTCATCAGAGAGCCTGACCCCTGATCAGGAATTCAGTGTAAGTTGGAGCTTGAGAAGTGGGCATGCGGACAGGGGATGTTGCTTACAGTCTATCTAGTTCTGCCCCCAGGTGATAGAGATAAAGAACACAGAGGCTGGCCCCAGCTCTCTCCCTTACTCTCTTACCAGTACATTTTCAAGTACAGTGATGACAAGTCACGTCTCCTGTCTGTGCTTGTGTTCCCCGAGGTTCAGTTGCGTTCTCCAGCAAGATTGGTGTGAACAGGAGCCAGAGTTATTCAGGGGCAAAGTATTATAGAAGCATGGGACCATTTTATTAATAAAAATATTGGTTATTTTTCTGGCTTTCGTGATTTTTGCAGTAGTGGTTGGTTTTTTAAAAAGACTTATGATCCATTGGGATTTCTTTTCTCCTTCTAACTAAATTCAATTTTTGTTCCTATTTGTAATTTTGTAGTCTGTTCTTTATTTCATGAGGGTACCCTAAATTGTATAAGCCTCGGTTCTAACAAACCTCATTTGGTGAAGGCGAGGAGAAAGAAAAGATGACAGCTAGGAGATACAAGATGAAGGGAGGTTTATTGATTGTTTTTGTGGCGGGAGGTGTATATGTATAAGTATATATATAGAGAGACTGAGAAAGGGCAGTAGAAAGAAGCTAAGAGGAGAGGAGAGGGAGTATGACCTATATGACTCTGGTCTCATGTACTGTCACACGCAATCTCACCTTGTTTAACCGTGTATCTATACCTAGCTATTTACTTTCCACATGTCTATCATTTCTAAAAGCATTCTTTTCAATAAAGATAAAAATGCCTCTGTCCCCAGGGCTTTCAAATCATTAATCCTTTAAACCATCCATCTATCCATTCAACTACAATTTACTGAGGATTTAACCCATGCGTGGAGCACACACAGACAAACCTAGGTAATATTTCCCACAGTGCTTCTGATTGGTCTATTCCATACTTTATCGTCTCTCTGACATAATCAATTCAGTCCAAGCAACAGTATTTGAAGAATGACTCTATGTGCCAGGCAGGCCCTGTGCTAGGCTCTGATACCAACAATGCAGACAGAGTCTCTGGCTTCTTGGAGCATACAGTCTAGCAGGAGATTCTCTTCAGGATTTAAAAGTCACTAGACATATATTCTAGACTTGTTCTCATTCTGTTATTTGTTTCCATGCGAATTAAGAGAAAAGGTGATAATAGACTGCCTAGGTCAGTGTTTTTCAATCTTGGCACTCGTGACTTTTTGGCAGAGAATTCCTTTTTGTGGAGAGCTGTCCTTGTACATTGTAGGATGTTTAGCAGCCTCCCTGGCCTCTGCCACTAGATACCAGTAGCATCATTCCACGTATGATCATCAAAATGTCTCCAGACAATGCCAAATCTTCCCACCTTCATTCTTGTTGAGAACGGCTGGCCTAGGTCATTCTTGGCAGACTCTCCAACAAATCTCAGACATATGCTTAGGAAGGTAATGCAACCCACAGTTAACCACTTTATATCTCAGTGATAAGTCACAGCCAACCACCAGGATGGCTTCTTGGGAACTGTTACACATAGATGGTGGAGGAGGGAAGAAGGAACGATACAACATCCTGCGCACGCCTGTATCTTAGCACTTAAATCGTAGTGAAATGATCTGTTTAATGTCTATTACTTGCTTCTATAACCAGACTATAAGCTTCCTAAAGACAAAAATGAATCTTATGAGTCTAACTCATTTTCCATTGTAGTATGATGGTTAAGAACATGGCTTTGGAATTACACTGTTCTAAATCTGGCCCTGCCACTTACTAGCTGTGTAACTGGAGCATTTTCCCTAACCTCTCTGACTTTGTTTTAGTATTTATCTTACAGAGTTTGTGATGGTTAAGTTTATGTGTCAGCTTAGTTACAGGATGCTCAGATAGCTAGTAAACACTGTTTCTGGATGTGTCTTTCAGGGTATTTCTGGAAGAGATTAACATGTGAATCAGTAGACTTGAGTAAAGATGATCACCTTCACCAATGCCGGTGCATCCAATCTGTTGAGGTCCCAAATAGGACAAAAAGGCAGAGGAAAAGTAAACTTGCTTTCTTTGAGCTGAGACATTCATCTTCTCCCACCCTTAGACATTAGTGTTCTCGTCCTTGGACCTTTGGACTTGCACTAGGACATACACCATTAGCCTCCCTGAAGCCTCTTTGTGGAAAGAAGAATGAGGATGAGTCCACTGAGAATGAAGAGTACAAAGCATGGAGATTCGAGTTATGAGTCTACGTATTCTCAGGCCTGTGGACTTGTACTGGAGCTACACCAGTAGATTTCCAGGCCTTTATCTTGCAGATAGTAGATCATGGGACTTCTCCAGAGAAGTACATGATATGGATTATGTGTCCATAATTGCATGAGTCAATCCCTCATGATAAGTCTCTTTCTGCATGTTTATATGTGTCCTACTGGTTCTGTTTCTCTGAATAACCCTGACTCACAGTTACACAAATAAAATGCTTAGAATACAATTTAATTAATACAAATAATCAATTAATGTACATAAAATACTTAGAATAATACTTGGAAGATTAGTAATTATTCAATAAATATCATGTAGTGTTATTTTATTATAATTATTTACATTATTTTTTGTATAAATGCATACATGCATAAATTATTGAGATGTTTAATAATTGCCTGTCAAACTTATTTTACCAAAACAGTGGTAAAATAAGGACTAGACTAATAATGTATCTTGTAGGAATGAATCTGAAAGAGTGAAGAATGTGGAAGAATGGGCCTAAAATCCAAAAACATTTTAGCAGCTCTTGAAGAAACTTTCACTTGTAGGCTAGGTCTAAAAGTAAAAGACATAGAATGGACAAAAGATAACACAAAATCAGGTCTTTGGCCTAGGACAAGTGATGATAAGAAAGCGAGGCCCCGGCACCATGGTTAGACCAGAGAACCTACCAGGTGCTTCCTTGGGGAAGGAGGAAATGAGGATGAGTCCAATGAGGAATGAAGAGTACAGAGCATAGAGACTAAAGTCATGATCCAGGCCCAGTTCTAAGACACATCCTTTCTCCTTGTGAGAATGGAGTCTGCTTTATAACAATGAGATCTTGTTTGTCCAGGGTATCCCCCAACATACTAAAAAGAGCATGCAACCAAAGTACAAGAGAGACACATAGTCACTTAGATTGTGAGCTTCTCAAAGGCAAAGACCATGTCTTACTCAACTCTGAATCTCCATAATACCTGGCCCACATTTGGTTTAGTATAGTATAAGTGAATGAATGAATAGAGGGACAAAATGTATTCTTTGTCTTCTCTTCATAACTTCCTACTAGTCATAAATATTGTTCATATTTTTGCTTCCCACTTAGCTTCCTCTTGCTTACTACTTAAGACTAGTTTGGACTGAAAAGGTGGGAAGGAAAGGAAGAGATAAACAGGGGCCGCTCAGGTTGGTTCAGGAAATAGGGGTGCTACAGCATTAAGGCTCAAAAAAGTGAGAATCTTTGGATAGAAGATGGATGGGAAAGTTTGAGAAGACTAAAGAGGGCAGGTAAGGAGGTTGTATGAAGCATTGCTATAGCTTATAAATTGGACTCCCTTTAACATCTTTTGAAAGACTACAAGTAGAAATTTGAGTTACCATTTAACTACTTATGGCCAATGGACTGTGTTTCTTAAGTATCATAATGTGCCCAAACTGGGCCAGTGCAGCAGCCCTGTCTTGTGGCTAGGTCCTGAAAAAATAAATAAAAGATGACTATCATAACATAGACAGCAAAAAACAAACAAACAACAACAACAACAACAAAAAAAACATAGACAGCAGAAGAGCAGGGATCTTCCAGGCTCTTATCTGTCTCAGATTGTGTGTGTCACAATCACAGAGTAATTGCTTTATTTCATTTGATCCTAATAATAACCCCTTGAAGAAACAGGGTTATCAAGCATCTACCATAATAGAGATGAGAAAGTTGAGACTCGGGAAGCTTTTATGATTTATAGAAAATCCTGTGGCATGGAACTCAGAGCCCAAGTCTTATGATTCCCAGTACGTACTGTTCTCACCACATTCTGCTAGTGTTGTGGGGAGACAAGGAGGATGCCCAGAGTGGTGAGGATGTCCTGAGATCAGAGAGCTGAGAAACTCAAGTCTAAGGAGGGATGAAGTAGGAGATTTAAAAATACTTCTCAAATTTTTCTACAAAAGCATCCCTGACCAGGAAGGAGAGAACTACTACATCCCCAGGAAGATCTGGACAGATAGCCTGAAATGAAGTTCTTTCAACTCATTTATTCATAGGATTAATGGTTATTTATTGAGCCCATGCCATATTCTAGACACTGTGCTAGGCTGAGCACTGGACAAGGTCCCTCTCCTCACAGAGTTCAAGGAGACAGATGATCAAACAAGCAATTCACCAACCATAACCTGAAGCTTGAGGCATCGAGGAGGAAGTCATGTGATTATGAAAGGCTAAGGGAGGGGCTAGAGAGAGGAGCGTGCAGAAAATTTTAGGCAGAAGGAAAGGCATGTATTTACACCTAGAGATAAGAAAGCACCTTCCTCATGGCAAACAACCAAGTTAAATTTAGATGAAATGTAGTTATGGGGGCAGGGGAGTCATAAATTGGGGATAAAATGACCATCCATAGTCACAATCTAAGCATGAAGAGATTTAGACACATCGACCTCATGTCTAGAGAAACTCCTGAAATATTCCAGCTCTCCTGGCATCTCTCTTTCCCAACCACTGGATGAATACTTCACCCCACCTCTGACACCCAAGGTCATATGAGTGTTCTATGAGTTAAGTCAGCCCCATGGAGCCCACATAGCCATGAGTGTTCTGAAATCATCATGTCTCTAGACTTCCGCAGTGTAGTGAGCAAAATTTGCCTCCTTCAATTATGTCTCTTTGGCATAATGTCTCTTAATTGCTTTAAGCTGGTTATTGTCTAAGGAAACAGCAGACATGGTAAACACTCTGAAAACCAAGTAGTTCACCTTTTGTAAGAAACATTCACATCTGTAGGAGAAATACCCACTTGTAAGGGCATAGGGAAAGTTAGCTCAGTCCCTCGGCACACAAGGGGGAACAGAACAAACAGTATGGCAGACGAACGAACCTTAACTCTGAATCAGATGTTTGGGGGTTCATCTGATACTGAAGCTTCTGCTCAGACTCTCATTCAGAGACTAGACAGAGCAACCCTTTCCAAGTTTTCTTTCCCACAATTTTGATCTCTCTCTGGCACAACGACAACATCATTTACCTTTGCTCAGTACATAACTCTTTGCACAGATAGAGATCTCAAAGAAAGCCTCAGGGAGCACAGCGTGGCTGAGCATAAAATGTGGCGGCCACCAGTGTAGAGCTTCCTGTTATTCAAAACTACAAACTGGGACTAACTGTCAGGGGCCTACTTCCCCATCTCACCAGGGTCTTATTTTTGTCACATCCTCTTGGGGAAGGAGATGGAGCCTGATTCTCCAAGGCTAAAGAAGGCTCCCCAAGCTCACCACAGCCCTGCCACCAGGGCGAAAATATCTGCTGCCTGGAAATCCTGCCCTACTTCCGGGATGGAGCCACCCCCCACATTCCTTTTTCCGTCTGACTATGCCTACAGGGCACAGCACAGGCAGAGAAGCTGAAGAAAGTACCTCGAATGTTGATTGCCAGGAACAGGTGGGGCAGCAGTAGAAGTCCCAAAGCCAGATGCCATTTCCCTTTCCTGGAGCACATGCTCCAGAACGTCTTAGGAACTCTGGAGACAGTCCAGAACCAGGCTAGAAAAGGACTGAGGCCTCTCTTGAACACATAGCTTGAGGTTAGATTAAAAAACCCAGCAACTGATGGGTGGAGCCCCAGGACCAGAAACAGGAAGTCTCACAAGTTTTGGAGTGTTTTTTTGTTTTTTCTTTTTGAGGGCCCTGAAGGGGAAATAGGAAAAGGCTAATTTTTAGATTTATTTTTACTGCTTGCTTTTAGAACAATCAGCAAACCTGACTGACCAGACACTTCTCCCAGCCCCAGACTCATTTTTAAAGCTAAAGTTATTGATTTCCCCATTTATTTTACCTTACTCGAGCAACTGAAATTTACAATCATGTTTGGATTCTGAGACAGTCCCCCAGGAAGGGAGTCATGGGACAATGATCTCAGGAGAATGACCAGACCCTCTGAAGTTCCTCCTGGCACCTGGTAAGTCTGATCAGATAAAGAAGTTCGTGGGCTGATGACCCTCCAGACCACTGGGTGGTCCCACCATGCTGGAGAGACTCCTGAGATTTAGGAGGAAGCTTCACCAGAGATTGTTGTTGAGTAATATCACTTTTTACACCCCAATTTGTTCGCTATATAATCACTCCACCCCATCCCCAAGGTGGGCTCACAGTGTTGAAGGCACCAGCCTGCTGGGAGTCCCCTTTGCCCGGCAAAGCAACAAAGCTGTCTCTTTTCTTCTAAACTCTAAGACCCCGCCTCTGTGTTATTTGGCTCATCAGGGACGGGGGCTGAACTTTTGGCAACAGCACCACAGAATTAACAATTTTGTTTGAATCTGTTTTCTGATGAGAGGATCCATCCAGAGAGGGATCATTTCTCAGAAAAGATTAAAAGCCCCTGATAGAGGCTCCCCTGTCAGGAATTACCCTGATTAGTCCAGAGGCTACAATTAGCAGGTACCTACCCATGGGGATTTCTGGCCTGAGCAACTCTAAATCACATGAGGGGTAGATCATGTGTAGCGTTGTCGTGTGGACTGAAAAAAAAAGGAAGCACAATGTAAAAGCTGAGAATTATATTTTATTCAGTGGACATTTTTAGGACTTCAAGCCCAGAAGGCAGCCTCTTGGACAGCTCTGAGGAACTGCTCCGAAGAGGTAAGGGAGAAGCCAGGATATTTAGGATTTTTTGCAACAAAGACCAGGTAGTCAGAAAATCAAAAGATTGCTGTTAATTAAAGAAAACCAGATATCTCAGGTTAAGGAATTTAGTGCTTTTCTACATATAGGAAGATGCAAAGTTCTGGGTTCATTGAAATCATTCCTAAGATACGCACCTTAGCTATCTAGGGCCAGTATCCTGTGCTTCCCATCCTGAGCCTCCTCAGGGCACACCACTGGAAGTGGCTGCAGTGGCCAATGGCTTGCTGGTGGGCATCCTGTTTCCATCTTGAGCTTCCTCAGGGCTCACTGTCAGGAGTGGCTGCAATGTGATGACTTGAGGGCTGCAACATCCTTTATTTACTGATATGACAGGCAATATTTTTCATTCACTGTAGGTTGAGAGCAGAAAGTCTGGGAAATCAGATCTACATAGTCTGAGTACTGTTTCCCACCCACCAAAGCCCCACCCCCAGGCTCTTCCTCCCATATGATAAATTCACTGTTTGAAACTTTACTTTGACCTATCCACCCATCAGCAGACAGGCCACCTAAAGACTTCCTAAGGCAACATTATTTGACCCAAAAGAATGGATTCCCAACTTTTGAGGTCTAAGAAATTTCAGGCCCTTCCCTCTCAAATCTAAATGAATTATTTGCCCACCCAGGGCACTTTGGAGACCCATAAGGTAAGCTACAGTCCAGCATACAGCATATTGTAACTACTTCCAAACTGGGGACATTTCTGAGTCTCAGCATGGAGATCACCAATAAAAACACTCTTTCTCTCAAACTGGGAACTCCTGTAATGAAAGTAGTTACCCTTCCCAAAGGATCAGCCTGGGGCTACTGAGTCAGATCAATATCTAAAATTGCACATGAATTGCACTCCATTCACTTGATCATACTGGAGCCCTGTGAAGTGAAGCAGATAGGTACTATTACCTATACCTACATTTTATAACTGAAACTCAGGGTCAGGCTTGCCCAAGGCCATGCGTCAGCTCCAGTCAAACCCAGTTTTCATCCAGCTCTTCCCGCACTGTGGGCTACAGTAAATTTGTGAACTGGAAAAGAAGATGAGACAGGAGTAAAATGAGGAAGTTTGAAGTGGAATCAACTAAGGAAGACTTTAAAATAAAACATGAAAATGAAGCCGAGGAGGAGTAGGTAGGTGGAGTCAAATGACAGAACAGGGTAAGGGATGGAAGTGAAGTAAACTACATGTGGCTTTGCTCAGACCCTGACTCCTGTCAGGGGTCTTCAAAAGGGCTGCTGCCAAGTGTTTTGCTGTAGCATTTGAAGTCTTAGCCAGCAAAGAAAAACAAAACCTATTTCCAGGGAGACTTGTCAAGATGGTGGAGTAGAAGGACCTTGAGCTCACCTCCTTTCACAAACACAACAGAACAACTGACCAATGAACAATCATCAATAAAAAAGACCAAGAAAAGATCTACAACTGGAGACATAAGGAGGGAATCACAGCGGGACAGTAGGAGGGGAGCACTTATGATATAATCAGGTCCCATACCCTCTGGGTGCACAACCCACAAGCTGGAGAATAATTATATTCTGGAGGTTCTCCCATTGGGAGTGAGAATTCTGAGCCCCATGTCAGATGCCCAGCCTGGAGGTCTGGCATCAGGAAGAGGAGCTCCCGGATCATTTGGCTTTGAAGACCAGTGGGGCTTAATTGCAGAAGCTCCACAGGACTGAGGGAAACAGACTTCACTCTTAAAGAGCTCATGCAAAATCTTACACGCACCTGGACCAAGGGCCAAAGCAATGATTTCTCAAGACCCTGGGCCATACCTGCCTGCTGGTCTTGGAAGATCTCCTGGAGAGGTGTGGGGTGGCTGTGGCTCACCCTGGGGACATAAAAGCTGGTAGTGGACATTCAGAGAGCATTCATCTGTGTGAAATCTCCTGGAGGCTGACATCTTACTTGGGTCATTAGCACCAAGACCTGTCCTCACCCAACAGCCTGTAGGCCTAAGTGCTAGGACACCGGAAGCCAAAACAAACTGGGTGAGAACACATCCACCCATCAGCAGACAGGCCACCTAAAGACTTCCTAAGGCCACAGGCACCTCTAGGCACACCCTTAGACATGGCCCTGCTCACCAAAGGGCCAGGACCCTAGCTTTCACCCACCAGTGGGCAGGCACTGGCCCCTCCCACCAGAAAGCCTGCACAAGCCTCTAGACCAGCCTCGCTCACCGTGAGGCAGACACAAGAATCAAGAAAACTATGACTCCGCAGCCTGAGGAACCAAATTTGCAAACACAGGCCAGTCCCCTACCCTGGGACCAGCCAGGACTCCTGCCCCTTGGGTGATGAGAGGGGAGAGTACTGCTGGGACACATAGGCTGTCCCCTACAGAGGGCCGCTTCTCCAAAGTCAATAAACATAACTAATTGACCATATAACAAAAATACAAATAGAAGCTGTTCGAGATGAAAGAACAAGATACAACCCGAGAAGAGCTAAGTGATGTGGAGATAGGCAATCTACCCAAGAAAGAGTTCAGAGTGATGATTGTGAAGATGATCCAAAAACTCAGAAGAATAGATGCACAGAGTGAGAAGTTAGAAGTTTTTAAAAAAGAGTTAGAAGATATAAAGACAACCAGAGTTGAAGAATACAATAACTGAAATGAAAAATACACTAGGAGGAATCAATAGTAGAATAAACGAGGCAGAAACATGGATCAGTGAGCTTGATGACAGAGTAGTGGAAATCACTGCTGTAGAACAGAAAAAAGGAAAAAGAGAAGTAGAAGGACAATTTAAGAGACTGCTGGGACAGTATCAAGTGCACTGACAGTCGCATTATAAGGGTCCCAGAGGGAGAAGAGAGAGAGAAAGGGCCTGAGAAAGTATTTGAAGAGATAATAGCTGAAACCTTTTCTAACATGGGAAAGGAAACAGTCAGCCAAGTCTAGGAGGCACAGAAAGTCCCATATAGGATTAATCTTAAGAGGAGCACACTGAGTCACGTAGTAATCAAACTGACAAAAATTAAAGATAAGGAGAAAATACTGAAAACAACAAGTAACACACAAGGGAGCTCCCATATGATTACTAGCTGATTTTTCAGAAGAAAGTCTGCAGGCCAGAAGGGATGAAAAGGATAAACCTACAGCCAGGAATACTCTACCCAGCAAGGCTTTCATTCATGTTTGACAGAGAAATCAAAAGTTTTACAAACAAGCAGAAACTAAAAGAATTCAGCACCAACAAACCAGCTTTGCAACCAATGCTAAAAGAACTTCTCCGGGTGGGGGAAAAAAAAAACACAACTAGAAATAAGAAAATTATGAAATGGAAAAGCTCACTGGTAAAGGCAAGCATACAGTAAAGGCAGAAAATCATGCACACACAAACTAATAGGGATGTTAAAGACAAAAGTAGTAAAATCCTCTGCATCAAAAATAAGCAATTAAAGGGTACACAAAACAACTAGATGTAAAGTATGATATCAAAACCAGTAAATGCGAGGGAATGAGAGTACGAATGCAGGGTATTTAAAATGCATATTTGAAGTTAAGAGATCAGCAGCTTAAAACACTCATATGTATATGTAGACTTCTATACCAAAACCTCACGGTAACTGCAAACCAAAAATCTATAATAGATATAAATATAAAAAAGAAAGAAGAATCCAAACATAACACCAAAGATAGTCATAAAATCACAAGAGAACAAAAGGAAAAAAGGAAGGATAAAAGACCTACAGAACCAAACCCCAAACAATTAACAAAACCTATTTCCAAACCCTCTAGGACCAGGGGCAGTACTATTGCGGGCTGGCCTCTTACTGGTTCCAGTAGGGGGCAGTACAACACTGCAGGTGTCTGAGTCGGCGCCAGTCTCCAGTGAGACTAAGAACAGGGGACCCAGGACAATATCCCGAGGGTAGGGGGTAGGCCTAACATTTAAGAAGCAAGCAGAAGAAGGATCCTGAAGAGGAACATTAGAAGGATCTGTCTGATAGACAGATAGGAATCTAAGAGAAAGCAGTGTCTCAAAAAATAAGAACAACAACAAAACAAACAAACAAACAAACAAAAATAAGGAAAAGAATCAAAACTGTATCCAGATTAGCAAAAAGTATGTCCATTGCATTTAGTAATTTTGTGGTCACTGGTAACCTTGATCTTGGTGAGAATCATTTTAGAGGAGGCAAAAGCCCGATTCTCCTTTGCTCTTCTTCTTCCTCCCTATGTCTATTAGATATTTCTTGAACTACATTTGAGGATGTAGAAATGAAAGCTACGCTCTGCCTGCTCTTAAGCAACTTGCAGTCTCATAGAGGAACCAGACAGAGAAGCAGAGCATTAAAATGTGGTTGTGAAATGGGGAATTATGTGGCCACTTAGAAAAACTATGTAATACAAACTGTACGTGATCAGAGGAGGCTGTTGGGAGACAAGTAAGTAGGTGCGGCTCCTCTGAAGAACAAGAGAGGTATGTAACACAAGGAAGGTGAACCTGGGTAATGTCTGAGAATTTGGAGAATTTGGCTGGTTCAGAAAACTGAGGAAATTTTAACGCAGTTGAAATAAAAGGATCAGTTCAGTTTGGAATGGGTTAGGATTAAGTTGTCTAAGACAGATTTGAATATATGGATGTGGGACTCCAGAGATTGACCTGAACTATATACCAGATATATGAATAATCAACACACAAATTGTGGTTGAGATCATACTATGTGCAAGGAGGATCTTTCCGGGAAAGAATATGTAAAGTGAAAAGGGGGTTGAGGAGGGGAATCCTCTCTGGCTTATCCCACACCAGCCACTGTATCAAACCACCGTAGGCTCTCTGACTTAAACCACAAACATTTATTCCCCACAGTCCTGGAGACTGGGCAATCCAAGATCACGGCACCAGCAGACTCAGTGTCTGGTGAGAGTCTACTTACTGGTTCACAGATGGTGTCTTCACACTGCGTCCTTACATGGTGGAAGGCAGGAGGGAGCTCTCTGGGGCCCAATCTAGGGTGGGGCCAAGATGGTAGAGTAGGAAGACAGCGGTTCACCTCCTCCCACAGGCACACCGAAATTACTATTCACAGAGCAACTATTGATGAGAAAAACCAGCAAACTAGCAGAAAAGATATTCTACCAATAAAGATAAAATGAGACTGGTAGGAGGGCGAAGATGCAGTATAGTCAAAACCCATAATCCCAGGTGGGTGATCCAAGAATGGGAGGATTATTATTACAATTACAGAGGTTCTCCCCAAGAAGTGGAGGCCCTACATTGGGCTCCCCAGCCTGGGGGTCCTGCACCAGGAAGATGAAAACCAGAACATTTGGCTTTGAAAGCCAGTGGGGTTTACTTTCAGGAGAGTGAGAGGGCTGTGGAAGTCTCTACTCCACTCTTAAAAGGTGCACACAAAAGTTCACACATTCTGGGACCCAGGGCAGAAGTGGTAATTTGAAAGGAGCCTGGTCAGAACCTAGTGCTGATCTTGGAGAGCCTCCTAGAGAAGTGGGAGGAAACTAGAGCTCACACCAGGACACAGAAACTGGAGGCAGCTGTTTTAGGGATCTTGTTCTACCACGTGGGCACTCGTGCTGGCAAGAACCATTTTGTAATCTTCTCTCTAGCTTATTAATGCTGGGACCTGGCCTAGCATACCAGCCTTTCAGCACCAGCATTGGGACGCCTCAGGTCAAGCAACTAGTTGGGTGGGGACACAGTCTCCTCCACCAGCAGAGCTTCTGCCTTAAGCTTCCTGAGCTCACAGTTATCCTGGGACCAGGCCCTGTCCATTAGAGGGCCTAGGACCTAGCCTTACATACCAGTGCACAAACATTAACCCTGGAAACCCCAGGGCCCTACAGCCAGAGGCCCTGGGACCTGGTTCTGCCCACCAGTGGGTCAGTACTACATCTAGTGTCAGCCTACTGGTGGGCAGGCTCAGTTACTGACATGACTATGGGTGGGGAGTGTCCGGGATGTCCCAAAGCTGGTATTGGCTCTCTAGTAAGAGAGGTGGTATCCCAGGGCAGCTGGCTGAGGGGTCCAAGGTGTCTTGGAGCTGATGGGCAAGGCTGTGTCAAGGAGGTCCCAGAGTTGGTGTTTCAACTGACAAGTGGGCAGGTCCAGGTCCAGATCCAGTGAAAAGGGGATGGAGGAGGGAATCAACAGCTCTGAGACACCTTGAATCCCTCAGCCAGCTGCCCCAAGATTCAGCCCTACTCACCAGAGGGCCAACACCGGCTTTGGGACAGCCTGGACCCCACAGTCAGTCATGTCCCACAAGTAGGCCGACACTACACCTATGCCTGAACCTGTCTCTACTCACCAGTGGGCAGGTTTGAATTTAAGAGAACTTCAACTTAAGTAATCACACAGTTATGTACAGTGGAGGAAACATGGTCAACAACAAGTATCTTTGTATGGTGACACGTCATAACTAGACTTATCATGGTGATCATTTTGAAAAGTATGAAATACCAAATCACTATGCTGTGTAACAAAAACTAACAGGGTGTTGTAGGTCAATTATCAAAAAACAGGTCAAAAAACAGACTAACTCATAGAAAATGAAATCAGATTTGTGGTTACCAGAGGCAAGGTGGGGAGGTGGCGTGGTGCTGTTGTTTTGGAGAGGAATTTGCTGTTACCTGTCAAAATTTTAACTGCATGAAATCATTGGTACTCTGTTATAATAAACTATATACAAACATATCAGCACAATTTCACAAGGACCAATGAAACATAAAGTGATGTTTATCACCACATAATTTACAGTGAAAGAAGTTGGAAATAACTTACAAGTACCAATCGATGGTGATAAATTATGGTATAAACATACTGCAGGACAATATGGGGCTATAATTTGGAATGAGACAGAACAGAATGTATTGATCTAAAAGGAATCTGTAATATATTGTGAGGGAAAAAATCGCAGAAAAATGCATCCTATAAACTCTTATTTTTGTTAAAAATCTATTCATGTAGGAAGGGTTGTATATAATATGATTTATATGCATATAAAAAGATCTGAAATAATTTATGTAAAAGTGGAAATTAGTGTCTAATTCAGGGTTACAGGTGAGAAGTTTTGATGTAGGAAAACAGATGTGGGGCGCGAGGAGGGCCAAGTCCCAGGTCTCGGGACATACCCTGCCAAGTGTGGATCCTTGGCAGGAAAGACTTCAAGTGCGAGCCACCGTTGAGTTGAGGTAGATTTATTTAGAGAGATACATACTGCATAGAGTGTAAGGCAAGAGAAAGGCAAAGAAAGAGGTGTGGGAGTTGGGTGCTCAGGTTAAAGTAAAAGTAGGTACACACTCCACAGACAGAGTGCAGGCCATCTCCAAAGGGGAAAGAGAGCGCAAAGTGCCACTAGGCGTGGTGTTGCCACTTTTTATGGTTGTAGTAGCTTCACAGGGCTACAGGTGGGATCAATCCAACTGCCCTGGGGAAGGGGCTGGGATTACCAGGAATTGGGCCATGGCCCATTCTTTGGCCTTTTGAGGTTGGCCTTGGGGCTGTCATGGCACCTGCGGGCATGTTCATTGTTACAATGAGCATATAATGAAGATGAAGTTCTTCTAGATGTTAAGCCTCTTAATCCTTGAGACCCACTAGGAGGTGAATCTTCCACCATTTTGGTGTTAAATTGCTGTCATTACTTGAGTGGTTGTGCCCTGCCCTCTTCCCTCCTGTCTCAGTTTGAGTAAAGCTTTTACCACTTATTATTTGATTTTTTTTATAAAAAAAAAATTC